GCTGGTCTCGCGAGAGCGAGGCTGCCGATCCTCGCGGGCGGGGCCTGCGCGTGCCAGCGCCGGTGCTTGCGTGGCCGCCGCTGGCGTCTGGGGGCGATGCGCGCGCGGCCCGGCCTACTGGTGGGGCTGGAACGGGGCCTGCTGGGAATCTCCGAGAACCAGGAACAGCCGCAAATAGCTGGGGCTGCGGCGTGCAGGGGACCCGGCACCCATCCGGGCAGCCTGAATGTCGTGAAATGTGGAACGTGTAAGATTTTTGTACGAATGGTTGTTCTTTGATGTTTGATCTTTGTCTGCTTTGCGGCCTAATCAATGACAAGGGAGACTTAATGAAACAGAGCTGCCAAGAAGCTCTAAGTGATGGCCAGGTGTTCCAAAAACAAATTCTTTGTTAGTAAAAATGCCTTATTAGGGTTTGGGGTTGGACAGGCTTCAACGTTTTCAGATCCAGGGGGAGGTTAACAAAGCTTGGGAAGAAGGATATACCACTGTGGACAAAGTGGATGCCCCATAGTACCAAAATTGCCAGAATTTTACCAAATTTTACCAAAATTGCAGAATTTAGAGGACATCTGGCAGAACTCCCAAGATAGGGAAGAAACAAATGATGACAACTTAGTAATTGTGCTGAAATCGGCTCCAGCTGGGCAACAGATAATTCTGGCAGGGTCAGATCCTGACCAACTTGGAGAGCACTGGCCTGAAAAACTCACTGGCCCAACAAGAGAGAGAGAGAGACTGAGCATGGGATTAATTAGCATGAGAAGTGAGAGAGCCAACAGAAGATAGAATACTAACTAATAAGAGAATCATGTGACTTGTAACTAATGAACACTAATCCCATTGTTTGCTAAAATGTTTAAATAGTAAAAAGTTCTCAGAGTTAGGTGCTTGTTCTATTGGATATCATAGAGTCCCAAGTTTGTGCAAACTGAAATAGATAACGTCTCTCTTGAGTTGTTACTGGCTTGTTGGACATGAGGTAAGAAATCCAGTTTTTACGGTGTCAGAGACTGAAATAGTTCATGTTTTTACGGTGTCAGAGACTGAAATAGTTCATGCCTAAAACATTGATAAAACGTTTTGCTCATTATAAAAAAAACTGTATAAAGAAGCTACAACCGAAGAAGCCTCCCTGAAAATACCTGACTGGGACTTAGGACTGAAAATCATACTGCTGAGATGAGATAAAGGGAAAACCCATTCTTCAATCACCTGAAACAAATAGATAAAGGGAAAACCCATTCTTCAATCACCTGAAACAAATAAGTAAACAAGGAAAAGAATGTGAACCAAATGCAGTTGCCCTGCTAAGAATCATCTCTGGCTTGTTTTGGGGTGGGGGAGGCCATAGCCCACAGAGCCATTTGCTGGGAGCAGGTTTGCACAGATCTCCCCCCAGGCCGAGGTGAGGGGAGGAATTTTCCGTGTGTTGCAACCTCTGCTCAGGGACAGTAAACCCATCTTCCCTTACCCAAACTGGGTATGAACCCCCAACCCTGGGAAGGCCACATCCACAGGACATTCATGTGAGAGGCAGCTGAGGGAGTGCCTTAATCCATCAAACACCCCAGAAGTGACCCCCAGAGTCATTCCTGAGGCCTTGTACTACCGGACTGCACCTGATGCAACAAACCCAGAATCTGTTGTAAGAGACAATGGCAAACTCCACCCCCACCCAGGGAGGTGCCTGGATTTTCCTACCTGGCCTGAGTGTATATTAACCCATTGGATTCTGTGCTTTTTGGGGGGACCTTCACCACCAAGCAGACCAACTGGAGAGGATCAATGGAGCATTGTTGGGATCCACAGAGTGGTGATATTTTCCTTATTCTTTCCCTGTTACTCTCTTTCTGTCTCTCCCACCTATTTTATATTTCTGTCTCGCTCTCTCTCATATTTACTATCAAATAAAACCCATACTATTATCATTGGCATATGGTCTTGTTTGCACCTTAATTCGGGCAGAAGCATTTCTAAGAACCTTAGTGACACATGGGGAGTGTCCATAGGGAATTGCATTTGTGAGATGTTTGCATTGATGTCGAATACTCAAAGGCAGAAGGGGAAGACCAAGAGCATGAGGGCTTGTTTGTAATTGTGGGAAAGGTTTTCTGTGGTGATGTTGTGACTCAGCCTGTGAGCCTCAGCCTGTGTCTGCAGCCCAGACAATGCTGTACAGTCCCAGCCCCCTCATCCTTCCCTCATAAGAGAGGTGATCCAGTCCCGTAATATCTTCATAGCCCTCCACTGGACCTGCTCCTGGAGCTCCATGTCTCTGTTATCCTGAGGAGCCCAGAACTAGACACAGCACTCCAGATGTGGCTCAGGAGGACTAAGTAGAAGTGCAGAAGTGCTGTGCTCCAGCCTGACTGTGCCACTGCTGCCATTTACAGTCAATAAGCAAATTATGCCTGGCAGGGAAGGACACTTGACTCAGAAAGGATTGATGTATCTCAGGAAGACGGGAAGTATGGCATTTCCCTAACAATCTGTTAACTCACCAAGTTCACCAACACAGGTGGGAGGTAAGACAAAGACATCACATTTAAGCAATGTCCACCAGCAAAAATTTTTAAAGACTTTAACCCCTATACTGAAAAGCATATGTAGATTGATTACAGTAGTTGAGAGAACTCTTACCCTAACAGGGCCTTTGCAAACTGATAGCTGAGCTAGAATTCCTAAGGTTTAGATCAGATACCTAATAATAGCCTTTGAGAGTCCTCCTCTTTACACTGCTACACGTGCCCCTGACCACTTGGGGTTTCTGCCTGCACAAATAAATGATCCTGGGATCCTATAGATCAACTGTCATGTGGTTGAAGGATAGTGGTTTGAACAACCCATTATTATTCATATAAAAACAAGAGGCTAGAGTAAATTAAAAAAGCATTAAATAGTCCTGAGTTCATAGCAACTTCAGTTACAATGTCCATCTTAATTTTTGCCACTCCCTTCCCCTCTCCTGGACCAATCCTTAAGACTGTAGAGATGTTCCTCCACCCTGTAGTCCCCTTCTGAGAAAGGATGATTCCATTTATGGTCTCAAATAATTCATTCTGTCAAAGAAGAAGAGTAATTTTATTGAAGGAAGATTAAAGGGTGGTGGGAGGAGGTTGTGCCACTCTCAGGTTCCTACTGTCCCTTGCACAAAATTGTTCCTTCTTGCCCCCAGAATGTAAAATGTGTTTGCCTAAGGAGAGGAAGCACAAGCAAGCCCATCTCTATAAATCCAATGATCAAAGAAGTAGAGAAATGCTAATTCTAATGGGGGGTACTCTGATTTGGGCTTTGTATAGTTTGCTAAAAGGTGAATTTAAACAGCTGGGTTTAGGGTCCACACCATAGGGTCTGCCAACAGGTCATTTATTTGATTTTGTTCTGGGTTATGCCAGGAGGACCAAAGTGAATCAGAATTACATCTGAGGTCTTCAAGAGCTCTTCACTTCTTTTATTTCAACAGCTAGGACTTTAAATGGAAGACTCAACACACCACCTAGTGGCTGATGACATTCCTAGTCTTTAGTACTCAGCTAATTTTAAATGAACACCCCCAACACCTTGCCAGTGAATTTACCTCACGATGCTGCCAACAGCCACCATAGTTCATGTTTTGTTAGTGCTGAGACACACAGAACCTCCATGGAGAACACAGCTGACCCCTGAAACAATGGACTTAGTGTAAACAACATAATTTAAACCTGAGAGCTTAAATTTTGTCTCAGATGTGGACGTTTTTATGTGAGCTGTTTCAGTGTGGTACTGGAAATTTCATCACTTCTGCTATTCACTTGAAGCAATAAAGGTGTTGATTAGATCCTTACATTTAATCCAGAACAGACTATTCCTGGATATTCCTTTTCCTTTCTAATATATTTGGAAACCAGCAAATATAATTGAATTTATTTATCATAACAGAACAGATTAAAAATGTTTCTTGCTATAAAAGCATTTTTTGAAAAAGCTTTTGCTTGTCTTCTTTTGCAAGGACAAGTACTTTTAATATGCTCTTCAAATGTGCTCAGTGAATGAACATATAAGAGCCTAAATCCACAGCTATTTTTATTTAGCAGATGTAGAATTTTCAAAGAAAGGGTATTCTGAAAATAGTTGCAAGTCTCTGGACTCAGCATTTCAAGAGTAGATATTTCTGTTGTCTCCTGAAGGAATATTTTAACATGTTAGTCCAGTGAAAATGCAGAGTGTTCAGTATCTAAAAATTGTGTGTACTAGGTTTTAAGTTAAAGAACAAATTAGGGGGGGAAAGTGTAAGTCTAAGGTTGTCTCATTTACTTTTTTTTTTCTGAAGGGATCAAAAAGTTTCTAGGTGATTTAATGACAAGTAGTTTAAAAACACTTTTAGAATTTCTCTAAAGCTTTTTTAAAAGCTTTGCAGAGATACTGTACTTCTGACTTCTTGTGGGGCTTTGGTGTGAGGCTTCACATCCTTCATTTTTGCAGGAAAATGTCCTGTGCTTTTGCAAGGGAAAGTTCTACTATTTCCAAGACTTGGCTCTGCGAGTCTTAAGGAGAGTTTGATCCCCCACTAATGTATTCCTTTATGACAAAATACAGAGGGCAGAAATGCTGGAGCAGCAAAGAACAGCTTTTTGGAGGTGGAGTTAAAGGACCCTGTATGTCAGATTGAAAAAGCAAGTGTTAACACGCCCTGTTTACATCACAAAGTCAAATTGCACTGAAATGAAGTTTTGACACAGATGCTTTACTGCCATTTACCAGAATATGCATTTCATATTCACTTCCATGCCCTTGTTCTTGTCAAAACTATAAAACAAAAAGCTTTCTGAAAATTAAAAGCAATAAAACTTTTATAATTTCTAGTTTGTGCTTGGATGTTGTCCTCATTCCATGCCTGGAACGATCTTTGTGCCTGTCTGCATAGCTCATGTGACAACTCAGTAACTTCTGCATCAAGAGCTTGGCATGTCACAAACCTTTCCCCTGCCCCGGAGTACACCCAGCTAGCCCTGCGTCCACTGGGAGGGGAAGGAGATTCGACAAGGATAAGGTAAAAGACGAAGGAGGCTCTTTCTTCTGGGACACTCCACAGTTTATTCTTGGAACGTACTCCAGGGGAAAAAGAGTGGGAAAAATGGCAGGGACTTGTAGACTGGGGGGAAAAGGGGGAAGTGGTGGGGGAGAACAGAACGGCAACCAATGGGAGACAACCAAAGGGGAGGGGCAAGGGGAAGGAACCAAAGGAGCCAACACACCACAAACCCAGTGGGGAGCAAAAGGGAAGAACCACTCAATGCAAATACAATAATCATCTTAGTGCAATACGACATCTCCCCCTTTTTAATTATATAAAGTTAAAAGAAGGGCGTTGGGCTTATTCTGATTCAGAACATAAATTTGTCTACCACCCCGCAAATCCCTAGCCTTTGAACAATTCACTGAACCAGTCTGTGCAAACAGGATGGCAAGTGGGATAGGGCTCATCACAAGGTTGAGTGTGAGGTAAGCTTTCTCTAAAAAGGAAAAACAAACATTTTTAAAAGCATGTTAAAAGTCAGTGTGTGTTTGCCAGAAAGTAACCAGATGCTAAGAAGGTTTCCTCTCCCATTTTCTGCCTGCATCATCTTTTGAAAGTGACTGCCACTTGTTTTTCATCCCCTTCTGCTGGAGCTGGATTTTTGGGAACAAAAGGTTTTACCCAATTTTGGGGTATCGAACACGGGCCTGCAGGGGTGGACACAAACATGTAGCTACACCCCCAGGTGACAAGTTCATAGGGGCCCTTGGCCTGCCAGGTTTCAGGGTCTCTGATTAAGACTGGTGGACACTGTGACAACTTAAACTGATCCCTGCTGTTAAAGTGACCACCATAGGACTCATATTTTCAAATGAACAATTCAGAAAATTGATGATAAACATAGCTTTGGAAAGCTTTTGTTGTGGTGACATCCACACTGTTGCACTGCTCTGTCTGGCCAGAACTTGTTTGAGCATCTGGTGGGTATGCTCAGTCACAGCTTGACCTGTGGGGGAGTGAGGGATAGTAGTCTTATGTTCCACTCCCCACTGCTGGACAAATTCAAGGAACTCCTTGGATTTATACGCTGGGCCATTGTCAGTTTTAATTTCCCTAGGGATCCCCAGCACTGAAAAGGCCTGTACCAAGTGTTGTTTGGCATGTGCAGCCTTTTCCCCTTCATGGGCAGAGGCATAAACCACACCTGAGTATGTGTCAATGCTCACGTGTACACACTTGAGGCGGCCAAAGCTGGGAATGTGTGTGATGTCTGTCTGCCACACTTAGCAGCTCCCAAGGCCTCAGGGGTTAACCCCAACACCCAGTGATGGCTCAGCCTGGAGCTGGCAACTGGGACAGGTGGCCACAATGGCTTGAGCCTGACTCGATGTAAGTTGGAACTGATGGATCAGACCTGGCACATTCTGATGGTATTGCTGGTGGCTCAGCTTAGCCTGTTGGAAGATGTCTGAAAGACATATGCTTTCGGCTGTGGCTGCTAGGGAGCCTGTTTTACCGTCTCCTTCTATGATTTTGCCTGGCAAATCAGTATGTGACCTCACATGCATCATATAGAAAGGATGCTCTCGAGTTGAAACTAAATAAATTAGTTTTGAGAGCAGCCTAAAGAGATCCTCGTTCTCAATGTCTCAATGTCACTGCTCTACCCTGGACACTACCCCTGCCACATAGGCTGAGTCAGTGACTAAATTCATTGTCTCTGAGAACTTCTCAAAGCCTCTCATGGCCGCAGCCAGTTCCACTACCTTGGGTGACCCCTCCATACACTCAACATCAGCTTCCCAGTTCTGAGTCTAGGGGTCTCTCAAAGTCATCATCGACTTGTGGGATGTCCCAGATGCATCAGTGAACACTATAAGAGCTTTGAGCAGCCTGCGGCTCCTTTTCTCAGGAGGAATGAGGTGGAATTCCTCATTAAACAATTTGTGTGATAGGGCGTGGACTGAAATTTGTCCACTGTAGCTGTCCAGAGCTAACTGGAGGTTAGCATTGCTCTGCAGCAGGTGCTTGACCATCTCTTTGGTTAACCCTCCTTTCTTTCGCTCCTCAGAAAGTTTTACCAGGAGGTGAATACACACAAAGTCACAACCAGACAGTTCCCTCAGCCTCACTCTGGCTTTTTGGATCAGCTGAGCCATCAGTTCTTGTGGCTTAGTGATGGTTTTGGATCGTTGGTGGGAGAGGAAGACCCACTCTATGATTAAGAGTGAACCTCTCTGCCCTTTGATTCATTGGAATATTAACCCATGAAACTGTGGTAGCTTTCCCAGGACAATGAATTTGAAAGGTAGCTCAGGCTTATTGTGATGAGCCTGTCTCTCAGTGAAAGCCCTTTGTGCCTTTTCAATTGGGGTTTTTGCCTCTGGGGTCAGTTCCCTGGGAGAAAGCAGCTCTCTCTCCCCCTTCAATAAATTGAGAATTTATTGATCCAGGCCCTCATTGCTGAGACCTAGCCATGGCCTGACCCAGTTCAAGTTTCCTGCACAGGGAATGGAGGTTTTGGGATCCGCTAGGGTTTTGCGATCACTAACAATTTCCAATTTCTGTGGAACAATGATTTGCACAGTGATCTCTAAGCCCGGGTTCTTCCAAGGTGGCATCCTTTGAACTTTGTCTTAAGTGGTTAAGACTTTAACCACTAGGGCAAGTGTGTGTTGAAGTATAGTGTCGCTGGGGGCGCACACAAGCACATCATCCATGTAGTGTAGCATGATGGCTTCCCTTTTTTTGGCATGCACTGGGGACAGCAATGAAGCCACATACCACTGGCAGATGGAGGGACTGCACTTCATTCCCTGAGGCAAAACTCTCCAGTGGTACTGTTTCATTGGGGTCTCCCGGTTGATCGTAGGAACCAAGAAAGCAAACTGAGGCACATCTGCCGGGTGCAGAGAAATCTGGAAGAAACAGTCCTTGATGTCCAGAATCGGCAATTGCCAATTTTGGGGAAGCATCATTGGGGAGAGCATCCCAGATTGAAGTGACCTGTCGCACTCTATTGGGAACAGTGAAGCACAACATGGACTCTCTTCTGGGTTGCACAAGAGAGCAAGTTTTATTATTCTAGATCTTTTATAGACAGGTCCAAGAGGTAAAACCCTCATTGGTCATTAAACCAACATGTGGACCTGATTTTCTGAGTCTGAGAGAGTTTTCAGTGAAAATTCCTTTTCCCAAGGGAAAGTCTCTTGAGAACATTTCTCTCCCAAGGACCATTTTTGTAAATAGTTTATGGTTCTCAGAACAATACTGTACAGCTGTGTTGTGTTTTCTCTTGTTCCACCAATGGGACTACAGAGGTGTTGTTCCCTTTACCAATCATGTTAAATCTGTATTGGAACACCTTGTAAAAGGGGCTGAAAGTTCCAAAAATAAAGCCCTTCTGATGATCCTTTCTGCTGTAGAACTGAACTCATGCTCCTTATTTTGTGTCCAGCAGCGACACCAACACATCACTATTATTGGACAATTAGGAACTACACCCCTTGACTGTTTCTTACAAGTAAACAACAAGGATCCAAAGAACACCTGCAAAGGTTGTTTTCCATCTCCAAAGAATGTTTGGATTCCTCTTTATGATTTCTCATGCCAGAGTGAGAACATTGTGTGACTTAGTTTTCACACAGGTTCTGTGCTCCTTGCCTGCTTTCAGCGTCCATACATGTCCTCAATTACTATGTTTATTTCATGGAGCTCCCGAAGGAGGTACCACTTAACCTTCTCTGGCTTCTTTATTACAAAGACCAGGGAATTCCAAGGGCTGGTTGTCTCCTCTATGAGGCCTTTGGCCAATTATTCCTCCACGAGGTCCTTGAGCACCTTCAGCTTATCCTTACTGAGTGGCCACTGATTTACCCAGACTGGATTATCATCCAGCCACATTAACTTTTGGGTAGGACGCTCCACAGTGGCCACTTCTAAAAATCCTGGTGAGTCTCAGGGATAATTAATTTGACTCCCCACTGGGACATGGTGTCTCTCCCCCACAGGGGACACTGTAGTCAGTGACAAACAGACAGACACTGGCCAGTTTACTGTCTGGCCCCTCAATTTGAACAATGCTCTTAGAGACTTTTGCCAATTTTACTCCTGTTTTGTGAGGTGCCTCAGGGAGGCAAAGATTTTGTTTCCGGTAACACTGTTAAAGTGAGACACATGGCTGTAAGCCAAGCTAGTGAATTTTGACCTCCTGCTTTGGGGGATGGGCCGTGTGAGCCCTGGATGAAGTTGTCCCACCCCAAACCCCTTGTGAAGGGTGGCCCAGGAGTTCTAATTGGGTTTGAGTCCCTGAGGGTTTCTACCTTGCTGTGTTCCTAATGGTCCCTGACCCTGAACTCCACTGTAGTCTGTTCCTCAAAACCGATCACCCTGCCTTTTTTGAGTGTTCTCTGTCTCTGTAAGAGTTTGTTCCCATGCTGAATAAATGATTTCATGAACAGAGGCCCACCTCATTCTTGTCCCATGCTGGTTCTCAGTAACTGTAGCTTCCCTGGACATGATCCTGCAGTGGCTGACTACAACATATGGTGGAAGAATGCAGACATCCAGTGAGGCACCAGAAGAACATCAAGACTGGCTCCATGGACACTCCGTAAGTCTCTGGCTGATGGCTTGAGAGCTGTCGAGACCCCCACCCTAGAAAGGAGGACTCGAGAGTACCTGGCAGGAGAGCCAAGCTGAGAGTGCCTCGGGCATGGGGGAAAAGGGCTTACGGAGGTAGGGGGGCCAAGAGACCAGACGCTGGGACAAACATCTAATATCACCCAACGAGATGTATTATGGACGGTTTTATTTTTTTTTTTATATACATGGGAAGGACCTTTATGGACGATACTAACATTATGGACGATTATGGACAGTATGGGTCTTCCTGTGGACTGTTTTTTTGGCTTCTGTGAAGTCCCTCTTTTTTTTTTGGTGTATACCTCCCCATATCTTCTTCTCTTCTCTGTTCCTAAGGGCAGGACAAAGGGTGAAAAATGCCAAGATGGCTCGGGGCTGTTGCCGACTCCCTGTCACCCCTATGTCTCTGGTATCCCATCCCCTGTTTTCTTGAAGGGAGGCAAGGGACAGAGAACATCCAGAGTGATGTGGGTCTGCTGCCATCTGCCCACCGTTCTGTGTCCTCCTTCACCCCCTGTCTTTCCATATTCCCTGTTCCCTGACTGGGAAAGTCCGTCCCAGACCCTCCCCCCTTCCCAAGATGGCGCCGGCCACCTGGCTTGGGATCCCTTGTTTCCCGCCTTGCTCTTTCTTTTCCGGCTCCGAACCTTCCCGTCCCCCAGTAACTCCTGCTTTGGTCCCAGCCCTTTGTTTGGCTGCTCCACCTCTGGGGGCTGTGCCTTTTCCATTGTGGGCAACACCCCCTCTGGGGTAATCAAAACTGTAACCTGAGCTCCAAAGGCGGGTGTTTCACCAAGAACAGCTAAAGTGGCGACGCCCACACCCTCGGAACCAGAGCCGAAGCTGGAGATCTAAGAACTCTGCCCCTTGTGAGAGGAGATCTAAGAACTGCACCCTTCCTAAAAGAAAATCCAGAACTGGAAGAGACTGAACCAAAAAAACATTATGTTTTTATTAAGTACCATCACTGTATAATTTGCCCAGATGTTGTCTGAGATTTAAGTGTTTGTTTTTGACGTTGTTTTTGTTTGTTTGTTTAATGTGTTTTGTTGTTGGGTTTTTAGTGTCCCACAAAGCAAAGCGCGTGCTTTGTGGAGGAGTTGAGATTTTATAGTGTAAGTTTTAGGAACATTTTAATCTCCTAATTAAAACTTAAAAAAAAAACCAAAAGGAGCAATTGTTGTGAGGTGCCTCAGGGAGGCAAAGATTTCGTTTCAGATAAGCATTGTTATAGTGAAAGGCATGGCTGTAGGCCAAGCTAGTGAATTTTGACCTCCTGCTTTAGGGTCACTATACATTTTTCACGTAACTTGTATGCAATTTTTGTACCTGTCAATAATTTAGAAAAGGCAGGATGGTTTCAGTGCCAGCAGGGTCTAGCAATATTAAACAGAACATAAAAGACATGGTGAGAAGATGCTAAGCAGGGGACAAAAGAAGAATTCAAAAGCATAAACAAAGCAATAAAGCAAAGATTGGAGTTTTTCCCCCCAGGTCAAACAGTTACATTTCACTAAGATATTTGATTGACACTGCAAGTGAAGTGAGATGCAGGGTTGTGAATGTTTGATGTTTCCAGTGAGGAAAAGAAATACATGAAATGCATGATGTAAACAGTCTGAAACCAACATTTTCCTAACATTTTATAAAAAATCTTGCAGATTATAAAGACAACAGTAAGAAAAAAATAGCAAATTGTTAATAAAAGCATCTTAATAGATTGTAAGGAATGTCTGGTTTACAGCTTCATATTTTTGCAATAAAATCATACCAAAAACATGCAGGGGAACAAAACTGTTCATACTTTCAGGGACATCTCTGTGGTCCTCTTAGAAGAATGGGGCCTTGGCTCTTGGTTTTGAGAAGTTCAGGAGAAAATACCAGATACTGAAAGAGCCTCCACAAACCCACCACTTACCATGGAAATGCCAGTCTTGCTGCACAATCCACTCAACAGCCACATAATTGCTTCCAATTTACTTTTGTCTAAGTAAAGAGCATTTACACATCCCTTGGGTGTGCCCATGAAGGCAAATTTGGAATAAAGGGCACTTTGCATGTACTCCTGCATTTTGAGAGACAAGAGGGGCCACAGTTGTCTTGCTGCTACTGCACATGGAGCCTTCAGAACAGATTGCAGAAGCTTAATGACAGTGTAAGAAGATCTTTTATACCTGATGGAGTAGAGGGGTACTGATGGAAAGCCAAAACAGGTATTTATGCAGATAAAATAATGCAAAAATTGCCAGGCTACCTTGGCTCCTCATAAATCTTCTATTCTTCAAATCACGAGGAACTGTTCCAAGGAATGGAAGGGGACAGTTTCAAATTATGAAAAGTTCAAGACAGGCAGTTTCCCGGCACAAATGCTCTTTCCCTCCCACAGAAAAGCAATGGCATTTTGAGGACATGGATAAGGAAGGGATGGTATTTTTTAGGGGTGGTGGTTTTTGGTAGAGCATTATCTGTGCAAAGATTGCCCTTCCTGCAACAAGCTCCCTTTTCCCATCCAAAGGGGTGAATATGAGGATATTGCTGTCATCACTTCACTATCATCCCCACCTTCCCCGTAGGCATCCAAAACCAGAGACCCTGCAAGTGCTGCAGCCCACTGGTGCTTCTGGCAGACAGGGTTAATCAGAGCTGTTACTCATTACATACAGTCATTAACAAACATTTTTTTCTAGGAAATCTGAAATGCCAGGTGCACAACACACTAGAGGTTCCTATATTGCTGTATCAGCATGTTGTATTGCATTATGTTACTAGAAATGGTTTCTCCTTGTTGCTCCCCCTCTGGATCTGTGATGTGTTGGTTCCTTCCCCCTCACTCCTCCCCTTCGGTTTCTCCCCATTGGCTGTAACCTGCCTTCCCCCACCCCCTTTCCCTCTGTTCAAAATCCAGCGCCAGCCTGGACTCTTTCCTCCCTGGAACCTTTCTGGAATTAAGCTGGGATACTGTCCCGGAAGAGAGCCGTCTTGGTCTTTTATCTTTTGTTCTTGCTAAATTCTCTCTCCCCCCTGGTGGGCGGCAGCTAGCGGGCCGCCTTCCCAGGGCAGGGAGCAGAGGGCTATATTAGCATCAGCAGTCTGCTTGGCTACTTTTACTACAATTTGTCGGCATTACCATATTATTTTGTATGCTAATAGATTTAAATCACAAGGTGCTCTGGGGTCGAGGTGGGGTTCTGAGACCTCTCTTTCCCAGTTTTGCTGGGTAGAGTGTGGCAGAATAAATCAAGATGGGAGTGCCCAAAGATAGCTTTTAATGTTCACAGAGACCACGTGGTCTGAGGGGCTACTTCGAAAGACGCAGGGGCGTGGTGAGCTTCACAGTACCTAGGGTTACCTGGTTGGGGGGAGCAACCAATTGTGAGCGTGGACAGGGGTTTTTACCTTTTACACCTAAGGTCCTGCCTATTCTGGGATGACTCCATTACCATCCCCCCTGCAACTGCATCCCAGGGCCTTAGGTTTATTCCCTCTGTGCCAGGAACCCTGTCCAGGGTATGATCTATCCCAGGTAATTCAGCTCCCACACTCTGGGACACTGAATCAGGATAACTTTGGGATCAGGAGGGCTTATGGGTGGGGAAGAGAAGCCTTATTTTATTTAATCCCCAAAAATAGTATTTGAGAAAAACAGCAAATGCTTCTTCATTTAGCTTGCCTCTGAGCACCCATCCAAATCCCCGTATTGGCTCTTTGTAGCCTGAAAGAGCAAAGGATTTTTTTGTTGTTGTTGTACATACTGTTGGTTTCTGGGCTAGGACAGACAGCTCACTGCCAAGTTGGTTCTTTCCCAGCCTAACTCCAAAAGGAGTCACAGACTTTTCCTACTCACCTTTTTTTTTCCTTTTTTGAGATCCACATCTCCATTAACAGCTAATCAGCCTGGAAAAAAATAGGGGGAATTAAGGGAATTGGCTGAGGGATCCTTTATTACAAAGCTAGTGGGCCATCAAAAGAGGACACAGAACCCTACAAGGAAACACTAGCATTCATTTACAAACAATTCAGCATTTTTATTCTTTTGAATTGAAGGACTGACTTCCTTCTAGTTTTAATGTTTGCTACTGTAACCAGAGAAGAGCGTAAAAATGCAGTACAACATTGTTAACCAGTTAGGAGGCTGGAAGGAAAAGCAAATCCCAGTACAATTGCAAATAACTTGGTGGAGTTTATAATTGAGATTTTTTTGAACGGATCACCAATGAAGCAATAAATAAGCTGCTGCATTGAACCAACAACAGGATTTAATCACTAACTTCGTGGTTTATTGCATTAGTTTAAAACGAAATGTTATCCATCATCATACATTCAACGACCAGGTAAATGACACTTTTTCATAAGTTTTATGCTAAATGGCTAAAACTATGCAGTAGCCAAACTAGAGTAGGACTAGTAGAGGTAGATACTGAATGGGCAGTGCCAGGCAGAAATATTTTGTGAAAATACTTCCTTGTCTTCCATTATGAAAAGTTAGCAGATTTAACACTCTTAATTAAAGCAAGCCTCTTAGTGAAGATATTCTAAGATGCTTTGGATTTTGTAGCAATATTTCTCTTGCAATATCACAAACTCTTTGATATTATCTCTCGTGGACAATTTTTGTCCTCCCACTTTTCTGCCACAATTCACATGAAGACTAACATACAAAGCTAGAGTCTTTGTGAACATACTACTGGTTTTGCTTGTACCACTCCAGAAGTAATACACATTTACAGCTTCCTTGGCATAGGAAGACTGCATTTATAGTATTTACAGCTTCAGTCATCTTTCTAGTAATAAAAAAGCTATTTTATATTTAATTTAAAATGGAATTTTTATTATGCCACCTCCTTATAACTCACTTCAGTCTTCTTTTGGCAAGCTGCTTTATCAGTTGTTCCTTGCCATTCCCACTGCTGGCTATATGCTCCTGGAAAGCATCTCTGCCCAATACAACCATTAAAATTAGTGTTTGTAGATTCCAGCTTTAATTACCAGAAAATATAATCATGACAGAATGGCCAGAGGTTTTGTAAAAGCATACGCCCTTTGTGCCTCGCCTCATCCCAGGACAATTGATAACTGGAAGGCTACTGGAAGCAAGAGCCTTTCCCCAAGCTCATCAACCACTTTTCTCCAACTGGAACTTAACCTTTCATTAATGTGCTTATAGACGGCTCAAATCAATTACTGATACAACCATCTAATTACACTACATTTGCACCGCTTTCCTTCACAGGACCCCAAAGCATGTGTGTTATCACAGGAATATAACTGACTTCCACATAGTTCAAGTTATTTTACATTACACTTAGGTAAAAATGGCATTTATAAAGCAAAATTCCTTAGTGGAAAATACTTCAAAGCTAGTTAGATGTTCTGTCCAGAAGCACTCATACAGGAGTACGAGTACTTGTACTCTGTACAGAAGGTGACTCATGCACCTCTGGCTCCTCAGGCCTAATCTCCCCCTACCCTCATGGGTTGTTTTCTTACAGGGAAAACAATTCAATCTGTGTGTTGCTACACTAACTTCCAGGGTCTACTGTTACAGCTGCAGTACCTCCAGACCTGGCAAATCCAAATGCTATGGGGAAGATTTAACAGTTTGATCATAAACACCTCATTTAGCCCTACAGAGCTCCCTAGGAAATGTAATTTACTCCCCATGCTAGGGGAAAACCTAGGTGACAAACCTTTCTGTGTTCTGGCTGAAGCAGCACACATCCGGACAAGCTTTCCCCCTATGAACATGCAAATATCAAGACCACGACAAAAAAAAAAACAAAAAGCAAAAAGAAAAAATGTCAACTATAGATTTTAAGATGTTTAATATGCAAAGAAATTTGTTACTGAATAGGTAAGTTTGAGGCTATTTTACCTGCTTATTCACACATGTGCCTGCATGCTTTGGTCTCTACATGGAAGAAGCAAGTACTTCACCCACCATCACAGGGAAAACCACAACTTCCAGTTCCCTACAATTTAAGCCCTCATCTGACATTGCTTCATGCAACGTGCACCATCTTCTCTCATCTAGGCAAAATTTATTGTCTCAACTTCTTTTGTCTCCAGGAAAGATACCCATATCATGCGACATCACCAGTGGCTCCACTGATGGTGAAATCCTCCTCCAGTGAAAATCATGAAGAATCGAACCAAATTATGTCATGCCAATGCTCCAGGCCATTGACCACACATTCCCTTCTCATCTGCTTTGGCAGCCAAGCACTGGTGATCACAATTTTGGATGTCAGCACACAAAGGAAAGCTTCCATTGCAACACAGCATGCTGTGCTACCAAATAAGACTTATTGCACTGGATTTCAACTTCATTTCCAGCTCTTAAAATGTCTTCTTCAGAAGTCAGCCTTGCATCTAACAGGACAGATGTGAAAATGAAGGAACAATTTTTTTTGTCAATTAAAGAACCTCCATCTTCAAGAAAACTCTTGGCTTAGTTTCCTGTCCTGGGCTTGCAGACTTCTAGAAGGGGATGAGCAACCACTTTAATCCAAAAGCACCATCTCTGAAGCAGTATAGAAGCCTTTCAGCAAAGTTATGAAGTGTCTTTAGAGAAATCAAAATAGAGGTGTAAATGGAGACTTCTGGAAGGCCCACTGAATCATCCCTTTCCCCATTTGCACAATTAAAGATAACAAGTAACTTCCAGGTTTTAGTTCAGCCATTTCACTGCAGAATCAGGCAGTGATAAAGTAAAGGAAATAATCCCATTTATAGGAAGCACGCAAAAACCAATATTTGGAAAAAACTGAATTTGCTAGATGCAATTCACGATCTGTTACAAGTGACCACTCCTCTGCCTCCAGCTTAAGCATCAGCAGCCAAAAAATAGGCAGCAGTACTAAAGAGGCAAGGCCAAAAGGTCACAGCTTGTGTAGGCAAGACTTAACCATCTCCAGGAGTTGCAGAAGACATGCAGTCCAAGTATCTCAGTCTGCAGAAACAAATGAGATCAAGACATCAATACCAGAGTCAGTTAAAGGCTCTGTACGTATTCTAGCCCCTAAAAGCCCAGCACGTAAAATATACAAATATAGCAACCCACACTTCTGACAGGAACTATACTGCAAATGTACACAAGGATAGGTTAGCCATTAAAAGAAAGTGGAGCTGAGGACATAATAAACAAAAGCCTGTTGGTTCTGACACTTAGAAAACTACAAACCCTAGTAAGTCTTCCAGAATCTCGTAACTGGACATGCCAATCACTGAATTCCATTATGTGGAAGAGGAAGGCTGTGTATCCACAGAATAGATACTCTGTAACTGAACTCCTGCTGCAAAAAAGGCACTCACTTTGAAAGCTGTAGTTTATTTCTGATCTGTTTTATATGATGAACCTACGAAAGAAAACATTTGAGCACCTATCTATATTATTAACAGAGTAGACTTGTAGACTGAATCTTGACTTGGAAAACAAAATTCATCCCAATACTGGTGGAACTTAAAAGCCAAGTAGCAAAGCACTGTGTTATAGGACTTCCCAGACATTCAGTATTTACATAGAATGCATTTGCACTTTACACTTAATGACCACCCATCAGCAGTGACATTGTTAGCATGACTGGACAGCACAGTAAGCCAACCCTGAGCTGCACTCTAGCAAACCTATTCAGGGTCAATGTACAACACCACAGATTGGTTTAAATATTCACACAGTTGTTTTTCAAAACATTTTATTGCATTATATTTGGTACCTTATGTTTGACAAAGGAAATTACATCTGTAACTGCAGGAATAAGAAGCTGGTCTGTTATTGAAAAAAAAAAAAAAGTCTTGGGCCCCTTGAAAGTTACAAAGTCTTGGGCTTGCCTGAAACAACTGAGCAAGAAATATATTCTTAGAAATGTAGGGCTTCAAGTATTACAAACCTGTGACACTGTGGAAAAGTTCCAGAGGTATCTAAACTGCAGCACTTCTTTTTTTTTTTTTATTTTTTTTTTTTCCTGCATAACGTGAACAAGGCCTGCTGAGGTTTTAATCTATTAGTCTCTTGATCAGTCAAAATGGTAGCCAGGCGTTTTCCTCTCTGCAACTTCAAGCCATAGTATGTTCTCATTTTGTTTTCACTCTACGTGAAAAATGCATGCGATCTTTCTAACTGGTGCCACATCACAGTGCATAATTTTATTTGATTCTTGCATTACAGTTTCAAAAAGTTTGGCCAACCTATGCCAATAGGTTCATCTCAAGAACATCAATGTTGACTCTCCCCTCCCTACCCCAAGTTTAATTCCAAGAGAGGCCATTTTTAAGTTGCTCCTTCAGGTAAAAACTGTGGTGCGAGAACACCAAACTGATCGTGTACAGTGAGTTTCAGAGACACAACAAGCTTATTGAACACACTATGTTTCTTAATTCTGCTTGATATCCATATGTCCAAGCACCCCAACATAAGTATGTTGCAGGTTTCTCTGTATATTCTGATTCGCACTGCATACTTCCTATGGACACAATCATCCCCTGTATCAAAATCAGTCAGATGCTAAAGCCCCATCAACTCTTTGTGCTCAGTGAATCCAGAAGAATCCAGTGCTAAAACAGCAGTTTTGCTGTCTGAGATAACAGTAATCTCACAAGACAAATTTAAAGTTAATATTTCTGCCACACACCTGCTCTGAGGGCTACACACCTCCAGGTCTCATATAAATTAGTTTAAAAACATGGATGGGTAGGTGAGGAAGAGGGTTGTTTATCTTTTCCTTTTTTTCAATTTTAGCAGCTTTTCATTTTTAAGAAACCAAACAACCTATAACCAGTAATATGTTAGATATTTTATATATATACTTTGTCAGCAGGATAAAAAAAAGTAAAACTTTGAAGGCAACAGTTTTTTTCCTCCTGTTCTTTGTGTAAATTAGAACAATACAGCAGGTGCGTGACAAAAATATTAATACACCAGATATGGTCCAACATCATTTTTTTCCAATAAAGTTGTTCATATTTCATTGGCCAGTTCTTCAGGTTCTGCAGAACTATCTCCATTAACTGTGATCTTCATATCCTCTTCATATCCAGGGGGCATGAAAGCCAAAGCATAAGGGAAAAGCTTATGACAATTTGCTCTGTAAGTTTCAGATGCTTCTTTACAGTCTCCAAGGCTACCGTCACATAAAGCTTCTAATACCTCCATACAAGTCTGTAATTAAAGAGAAAAATAAAGAAGTGTTAATAAAGTGAATAAAGGTTTCTTAAACGTTCAGCTGAATGCTTACAAACCAATGCCACAAAGAGAAACTTCTATTGTTTACAGGTTTCAAACAGCAGTTTTGCTGAGATAAGAATAATCTCACAAGACAAATCTAAAATAGTATTTCTGCCTATTTCAAAGGCCACACATCTTTCAGTATCAAATGACATTTTAACTAAGCACAGCATGAAATACCAGTGTAGTCTGATTTGAAATAATGCAGTTTAAAAGGGGATCTAAAACACAGGTAGAAACCTTGACTGTAAAATGAAATACTAATTTGTCACTTGTTTCTTATTTTCCTAAAGAAAAAACATTATTCTTGCTAACTGGCAAGCAAGAACCCCACCATTCTTGGGACACACTGACCATTTTAGCAACACGTAACATACCTTTGAATCAGATCAAATTACTCTGATATTACCACATTTTTCAGATATGCGCACTGTCCTGTCCATTTTTGTTCATGATTTAGAAAAGGAGATTGCTTATGGAATTTTTTTCAGCCAGCATTCCAAACATGAGAAGCCAACCTACTGAGCTCCACTAAAGCCTGGAAGCATTTAACAACTGCTCATGTCTGTGTGCAGGCACACAGCCAGGCAGTCTTTTCCTGCTCATCTGACATTTAGTAGAGTTTTTATTTCTTCTGTGTACTGGGATTAACTGCTCTGTGCTCCTCATGTAGGGTTACACAGCTTTCCTTAATGACCTGTTTTCCTCATATTTGCTCTTTGTAACACTGCCATCCACCAGGTCAAACATATCTGGTCTTATACCTACCTACAGCATGCTCCAAGACAGCTGGTCTTTTCTACAATGAAATGTAATGAATTTGATCTCTTTGCACACAAAAATGCCTTTCAACAAACACCTAGACTTCCTCAGATTCTCCATTTTTAGGGTGCTTTCAATTTCTCATCTAGAAGTTCAGTAGAAGTCCAATTCTTCCTTCATGTTGATACCAAACATGTTTAAATTCAACATTTTCAGTTTTATCACAATGCACTGTACAGGACATTTATGCAATGCTGAGCTGGTAAAAGCTTCTTCTAGTCTTTACCAAGTTTGCACCTCCAAAACAACCAAGCATTTTTGGTTACACTTAATCTTTCCCCAGTCTAATTCCAAGAATCCCACTCACAGGCAAAAACTAGCAAATAGAAGGCAAATTAATTTTTGTTTTCTAAATGTATTGATAATATAGATTAAGGTCTTTGAGACCACACAGACAGTGAGAAAACCCGAACCCAAAAACCAATACCCAAACAAGACAACTTTATGAAGAATGTTACATATGTAGCTAGAATATAAAAGACATGAGTTTGTGTCCCATACCACAACAGCTAGAACAGAGAAAAGATCTCAATCTTTAACATCCTAAACAAGTCTACAAATCAAGGCAAGTTGTCCTTCATTGTCTCTTTTCTCCCCCCTTTTTCTGGTCTAAAAATTCTGCTATAAACTTAAAATCCTTCACAATTAAAACTTCTATTGAACCCACTATATTTCCTAAGAGATGTTTTTTTTGTCCACAAAAGAATAATTTTTAAAGTAATATTTACCAAATTTACTTGCAATAGATCTAAAAAATTGAGTGCACAGACTACGGCAAATTGCGAGTCAGAACTGACAAGTCTTCCCAGATGAAGGTGGGGGAATGGGGAAAGGGGCATGGAGGAAGTGTCACAGGGAGATTATTCCATGACCACTAGAATGGAACAAAGACTCAAAATTTGGTGAGCTTTTCACTTAATTACACACTAATGCAAACCTGTGCATACGCAGCTTTTATTAAACCTATGGCAATTCCCACAGCTTGCAGAAAGTTGACTATGGAAATCCTTCCCAGAGTCTGTGCCACTCCTTTTCTTGTGAACAGTTGCCTGTGTGGCAGCCAAAGCGCAGACAAACTACTACCTTTTCTTTTGCCTTGTGAATTCTGTCAAGTTTAGTATGTTTTCCCATTACCTGTAGCAACAATATGGTTTCTGCTGCTGCTATTTTTCTATTATTACAAAATGAAATTAATTTAAATGTGCAAAAAGGATATTTTAAATGTGCAAAAGCATATTCAGTTCAGATGAAACTGACACTCCTTTCTCTCACAATTCAACCTCTTTACTATAAGACATAGCAATGATTTCAGCTTCCTCTTACCTCCAAAAATTTGCTTAAAGCTTCCACAGATAAAAAAGAAGTTGTCTACAATTTATAATTATGTTACCTGAAGATTTCTGTTAATAAGGGATTCATCCAGGGTCATTGCCAGTTCAACTGCCCTTTTCTGACTGGAAGGATCTAAATAGTACATCATTTTGGCAGCTACAGGAGGAAAAATGAGACTCATCAGCCACTGGATGACCAAAACCATCTTATATACAAACATAAACCAGAAATAATATGAGGAGAGGGGAATTGAACTCTACAGCAGTAGTTCAAAATGGAACCAACTTGGAGCCTAAAGCTTGACACTTAAGTAGCTGTAATGGAAGCTCCAAACAAAGCATTAAAACAAACATTCTGCACACATTAGAAACAATACAGCAGAGGTCCCAACATTTGCATTTCAGTAGCACAAAGAGAAAAAGAAAATCACAGACAACCCAGCAATCATGTTGTCAGAAAAACAGAAATGGAGAAGAAAAGTACTCCAGAGTGAAGGAGTGATTGTTAAATCACTGGGGCTGATACTGAGATACCACTGCCAGAGAAGCAGATAAAATGCAGAGGTAGAACAGAACAAGAGAAAGGCAAAATACCTGATAACCTATGTGGCAGTGAGTCGTAGTTCCTTTTAAGGAAAGCTTCATTGAAGTTCTTTGGATTAGTTGCTCCAAAAAGCCGATTCATTTCTTGGTTTAACACTGTTCTAACAGCTTCAGGCAGATCCTTACTTTCAGATACTGTTGGGAAAAAGAAGTTGAGGTCAGCACAGGTAATCACAAAAAAATATGCTTTATGAATTTATTTTAGTATTTTTCACGCTTACGTTATTAATATAACTGGAAAGTATCTCAAAGGATGAAATTTGCATGAAATTTTAACAGGTAAATACTGGATGTGGTTAGATAGAAGAAGCTTAACTGGGGCAGTTTTCTGATGCTTAGAAAAAGCCAAAGCTTTTTTACATTAATATACTCTCCCCCTTACTAATTGAAACCTATTAGGCTCAAAGGTCAATGTCGTACAAATCTGTTCTTAAATGTGTCTACTCTGTAGCCCCCATCAGAAAGGGTGACCTTTGGGGCAGGAGAAGGGAGAGGACTCTTCCAACTTTTACCAATAAGGACAGAATTCTAAGCCCTCTCCTTGCATGCTGACAAAGGCTGTCAGCAGAAAAACCACACTCCTCACTCTGCAGTTTCCATTTCTTCCCTGCCTCTCTCTCTCAGGCTTCATGTACTGCTCACAGTCTTAAAAATTCTTAGCAGTACTGGAATGACTCCCAAATCCAGATGCAGTAATAATAACCATGCTAAATTTTAGCATGAACCAGTTGTTTATAAACAGCTTTCTAATACATGCTTTAAATATTTTGAATTAATTGTGCTAAAAATCAGTGACTGCATGTTTGGCATCA